GAGTGACGACCGTGATGAACGAGGATGGTATGAAGCAGTTCATGCGCACAGCGATGTGATACACAGGCACCAAGGCCAGTTCGCTTCGAACAGCCATGGAGTTGAATGAATGCAGAACGGGCGAAAAGACATAGGTGATGGGACCGAGGACGTTCGCGTTGGTGTTTTCCCCATAGCTGTGTAAGATGGCAAACCATATCTTATTGACGACTGGAGTGGATCGTACCTCGGTAATAGCTCGTGAGGTGCAAGTCCGTTAGCAGCCGAGAGACAAAGGTCGTTCGCAGAGCCCGAACCTCTGGATCCTCGGCTAATCGACGCTTGACTTGAAGTGGTTCTCAATTCTTCAACTGATTGAACGTATCTAATGCATGTTATAGCTCAGCTTGGGTCGAAAGGTCTTAGTACGCGACTCACAGTCTACCGGAAGAGATGTCACTGCTTCGCTCACTATGATCCACCACGCCTGCGACTTCGTCCCATTCAGACTCCAGTATGATCATCTTTGCCGTGCAGCCTCCGTGATCGTCACAAAGAAGAACTTCGATACCGCAGCTTCATCTGGCAAGGAAGACAGAGGGAAATCAGCTCGGCGGGCGGTCAGAGTGAGGTCTAGAGGCAAGGGCCTGTTTCCCACTGAACCGGAGTCGCTCGACTGACTTCAAATTCTATCACTTCCACTCGCTTGTTCGGAGAACTCTTTCGTTTATTATTCTTCAGGCGTGGCCATGGCCTGCATTGACTACCTCGAAGACCCCCGGCGCGTCCCGCCCGGCAATGGCTGGCCTTGGGCGAGCTTGACCAATGACGGCGGAGTGGCGGCCATAAGGAGCGCTTTCGGCCCGCCCGTGACAATGGATCCGGACTCGCACTGCAAATATTTCAATCTAAGACAGTTACCAACGACCATCTGATAATACAGAAGATTCCCCGATAAGTACAGGGCGGAGGGTCGCCCGACGCGAGACGAGGTTGGTGATTGATGCGAGTGGCGGGAGGCAAGGCGCTGATCGGTACTATACTTGATATGGTACCCGTCGGCACAGATCCAGATGGCGGACCTACCGTAGATAGAAATATCGCGCCGTAAATTGCGCGTCAAACCCAACTATCGGTGTGGCATATCAGGCTTCGCAGCGAACTCGTGCCCCGCCGCGTCGGCCATCGCCCCGCCCCCTGTGGACGCGGTACAAACAAATGGCACTATATAACGGGGCAGAGTCATCCCCACCTCTCAGCATTCTCCTCTTCGCTCCCGCCCACACACAGTACTATCCCGCTCCCGAAATTCATTGACTCATCCCGCCCTACGAAATATCAGCAAGAATGCAATATCCTACCACCCCATCATCTCACCACGGACACACTGTTCCGCGTACTCCGCCATCGCAGACCGGCCGGCATCACCACAACGGCCAACTACCGACTCCAGGGGCACCCTACATGTTTGCAGCGGCGCTGCCGCAGAGTGCACTGGCGCCTGGCCATACTGGGCTTCCACCGACGCCGTACATGCCCACTGTTCCACTCCCTATTCAACAAAACAGCAGTGAGTATACTCATTTTTGCGACTTATTTGCGTGCCAGCCTAATCATACACCAGCCGGCCTACTTACTCCTCCCGAGAGCCCGGTCAGCAGGTCGCGGAGTCTGACAGCCCTGAACGACCATCTCTTCCGCCCGAACTATACCTACGACATGCGTTACGACGTCGACCACGCTGGCCTGCGTTCTGCTCTGCAGGAGCATGCTACCATTCCTGCAACTAGGCAGCTCGCCGTCCTAGTCCAACTCGATCAGAGCATGCTTACCATTAATATTGGCGACGGGAGGGCCGCTCTCACTGTCAGAGATGTCCTACACCGTCTCCACAGGGAACTGACCAAGAGTGAGTGCCACGCTGGGCTATAATGACAGCTCAGCTCAAACCTTGCAGCTCTTCCCAACGGAGGCACCCTTCTCCAGCTTATCGGCAGGCGTTATATCTTTGACGGCCTAGAGCCTAGCGGAGGCAATGCTTTCACTCTCAAGCTCAGACGTTAAGCGCCACGCGAAGGACTGTGCTTGCCGCCATCACTCTAGCTCACGAAAGCAAGGGAAGTATGGACAGCATCGCGTTAACGAACCCTTCGTTGGACATAACGGTGTACCTCTCAGGTTTGTAGTACATCTCATATCATCTTCTCACGTATACTGCTTCGCAACTCAGCTGTATTGACTAGCTTTTTGTATCGCTACTCTGTAGTGTAGATTCCTCTCCGCGTTCCTGTTCCTTCCACCGTCTTCCTCATTCGCTATCGTTGCGTCGGATACTGGTTTCTCCCCCCACTGTTTATAGCTATTTTGTCTGGCTTGCGGCATCTCTTGAGCTGTATCACTCCACTTTGCATGTACGTAGGTAGTATTACATACATAGTAATGAATAATATTCCTTAAACCGAGTCTATTCCACTGAAGAGAACCCTCTTCACAGTGACGCGGTAGCCTGGAAAAAATGATATCGTCAAGCTATAACATGCGAAAGAATGTGTCTTACGTTTATCACACAACCTACATCAGTGCATTAAACATTTCAACTTTCAAGCTTGCTGCTATTCGTAAATGAAAAAGAAAAGAGAAAAGAAAAGAAGACGTAATAGACAGTAC